CCCTCGAGCTGCCTGCACCAGGGCTCCGACCTCGCCGCTCGGGCGCGCCGCAGCTCCGGGCCGCGGCGCGGCGGCGCCCGCGCGCGGGGCCCGCGACGGCGGCCGCGGCCGCCGCCCTCTTCGGCCCGAAACCGCGGGACGCCGCGCGCCGGGCCCGCGGTACCCCGCGCGCCCTCCCTCGCGGTGGGCCCGCGGCGAGGCGAGGGGGCGGCGGCGGCGGCGGCCCTGGGCGTGGCTCGGTCTGCGGCGAGGCGGGTCCAGACATGCGGTCGGGCCGGCGGCGAGGCGCGCCCGCAGTGGACCGCGGCGGAGGCAGGGGAGGGCCCAGGCGGGAGGAGGAAGCGGCCGCGGCACGGCCTCCGGCGAATGTCACACGATCGGTGCGATCTGACGTTGCGGAAACATGCGAGTGTCGCAAAAATCACGGCTGGAGCCCTGGACCCCGTCTTTCTGCGGTACTCTTCGAGCGAGATCGATCTGTGAGGGCCCTGGGGCCCGACTCACAGCAAAAATTCCCCGTTGCGTTAGGTTGGGCATGTAAGAAGTGTGACAAAGAGTTGAAACTCGTGGAGGAAAACGCAAAAGACAGTCGCATCATCGTCCCCAGCCCATCTGGTGACTCTTTTGGAATCTTCCTCCTGCAGAGGGACGCGCCCGACTTCACCATTGCGGCAACATTGCAACGCCGAGCTCTCAGGGTCCGGCGAGGGGCCGCGCGATCGCGGTGGCGGCCGGGCCGCGCGCCCCGGCGCTGCCCCGACCGCCGGGCGCGCCAGCGCGCAGGCCGCGGCGGCCGCGGCGGCCGCCCGCCAGAGGACCATCTCTCGCGGGGATGCCTCCGGCACCGGCAGGGGCGCGGCGGCGGGCTGGCCCGCCCCGCTGGGCGCCGGCTGGCGGGGGAGCAGTGGCGCCTCGTGCCTGCTGTGTGCCCCCGCGGCTTGCCCTCGGCGTGGCCTCTTTCGGCCTGCGCCGTGCTGCTCTCCCCTTCCTCCGTGGCCTCCTCCCTGAGCTGTCCCTGGCTGCCGACATGCCCGCGCACACACAGGCACAGACACAGACACAGACACACACACACACACAGGCTTTGTTGTCTTCTCCTTGCTAGCGTTCTTTCCCGATTCTGGCCTCCGGGGCGCGTTACCGGGCCCCGGGGTAACTGCAGGCGGGCGGGGCCGAAACCAGCTGCACGCAGCAGATCTTGTACCCCCCCTTTCCCTACGAAACTTGCCTGCGCCAGCACGTGAGCCGAGATACAGAGCGATTTTATCAGCACTTATGGTGCCCAAGCGAATCCAGGTAATGCTCTATAGCAGCTCCCGGATGTTCTGGCCCCCACCCCGCAGCGCCCTCGCGGCGCTCCGCGCAGGTCGCGGTCGCGGCCCCCTTCCTGCATTGTCCCCCCCCTTTCGTCCGACCCGATCCCCACACGTTGTTGTCCTGAGGACGAGGTGCCTCGGACAATGTGAAGGAACCCTTCCCTCTGCAGGGGGCCCCCTCCTGGCCCCTGCAGGCTGCGCCCGGCCGCGGCGGCGAGGGGCCCTCGGAAGGCCCAGGGGGCGAGGAAGGCGAGAGCGAGGGAACGAGGCCCCCCCCCAAAAAAGAAACTGAAGGGGCCCACAAACACACAAATAAAATTATTCCCCATATTTTCCTACATGTTCTGGGTTTTTGTCTTCCCCCCCACGTCCCATGTTTCCCCATACTTTCTGACGACGATCAATTGTGCCTGTGTGTTTCTTCCCCTCCTGACAAACCCCCCTTCTGAGCCATGGGTAGAGCCCGCTCGACGGGCCCAGCTCCCTCGGCACTCCGTCCGGAGACGAAGCCAGGACGAGGACAGCATCGGGCGAGGATGGATCGGGAATTTCTGCGCTCCGGCGGCTCCGGAGCCCGTCTCGGGCGCCGCGGCCCTCTCGGAGCGCTCTGGAACGCCCTGCAGAGCGTTCCAGAACGCTCTGAAACGTATGCATCCTCGTCCTCGCCCCGTCCGACGTCAGGCCCCAGACGTCGTGCGCCTCCACGGCGAGGACCCCCGTAGGGCTCGACCCCCTCCACGGGGCCGGCGTCTCGTCCTTCATGTTTCCGTCTCCGATCCCACGGCCCGAGAAGCGCGCCCAAGTGCCGAGAATCATTCAAGCATTCCGATGCGTATGCTTCGAAGTGGTTGTGTATATACCTGTTCCTGGAGGGGGGCTGCAACTCATTCCCCCAGTGAGGCAGAACGCTAAAATTTCTGGAGCTACGAGGAGGGTAAGCGGGAGGGAGCGGGGAAGGACCAGCAGCATGTCTGCATGGAGCGGGGGGAGAGGCGAAGCTGAGGAGTCGGAGAGGGGGAGCAGGAACATGAGAACACAACGACTTGCAAGGAAGCTGCACAGGGCCTGGACACGAGGGAGGGTGGAGCAGAGAGACCCGGGCATCATCTGATATGGCTTTCTGCTCCATCCGCGGCCCCCAGAGTCCCGACCCCTTCCCTCCCCGGGAGTCGTTTCGCGCCCCGCAGCCGTTCGTCCATGGTCCCGGGGCCCGACCGAGAAGAGGCCCCCGGTGGCGAGGGGAGAACGCCGGGATCGAAACCATCGTGTCGTCGGAGATCCAAGGAGGGAGAGCTGAGCAGGGACCAACCGTCCTGGCATTCCGATAGGCCTACCACGAAATGTTCTTGGAGCCCACACATTTTCTGAGAGCAACCACACTGTTAACTGTTCTTAGACCACAAAACATGTCCTAAAAACATGTCGTGCGGACCACACCAGGTTATCAGAACATTATTTGGTAGGACTGTAGGCGAGCCAAGACGCTTCGTCACTGCTTGAGAGAAGGAACACATTTTCTCTCTGGCCGGCATGCCGCCGATTCGGCCCGCCTTTGATCTATGGTCCGAGACCGTCGTCGCGCGCGCGGGTGGGATCTGTGACAGCTGCACGCCTTCCCCACGTCCTCCCCATGTGGCGAACTCCGGAAACCCTGAACCTAAGCATGTTGTCATCTCTTTGGGGTGCATATATATAGAGAGAGAGAGAGAGAGAGAGAGAAAGGATTGAGAGAGAGAGAGAGAGGAGGGAGAGGAGAGAGAGGATATAGAGAGAGAGAGAGAACGGATGTAGACAACGAGGTAGAGAAAGAAAGAGAGAGAGAGAGAGGAGGGACATGATATGGCGGGTTCTGGAAACCCCGAATCCAAAAATGTGACCATCTCTTTGAGGTGCTACTTTTACTTCCGCCGCCTTCCGCCGGCCTTCCGCCGGCGGCGGCAGCCTCGTTTTACTTCCGCCGCCTTCCGCTCGCCTTCCGCCGCCTTCCGCCGAGGAAGAGACGGCAACTTCTCGATCCTCGAAGGCAAGGCCCTTTTCTGGAACGCTCCATAGTGTCTCTACATGCAAATACAGACACACACACACACCACCTGCCATGCAGGGAAAAGGTGTCCTGAGGGAAACGGGTCCTGGGCTCTACAACCCTCCTCGAAATCAAACGCCAACTGTTGAAATGTTGGTCGACACGCGCAACGCGGCTCCCAGGGTCAGATCTCTGTGCTTGCAGTCGCCCATGTCGGCGCGAACCTTGAGACAATGGGGTCCTGGGGCGCCGTCACGTCGCGGGCAAAACGGGCGTTTGACTTCGAGAAGGGTTGTGGAGCTCTCCTGAGGAGAACAAGCATCGTGCTGGGAGCACGGGGCCGGGAGGATGCAGGGCATGAGCACGAGCATCCGGATGCCATGAACGATACCTTCGGCCGCCGACGGGTAAGGACCTCCCCGTTCCTCCCAGCCCGACGGCTGTCCTCCGGACCTCCCCGCTCCGCCAGGCTCGGGCCGAGACGGCCCGGGGGCCCCGTGGAGGAGGCCCCGTGGAGGGGAGGCCCGAGGAAGCCGGCGGAGCGACTCCCAAAAGGGCAGGTGCTCGCCCCTCGGCTCCCAAAAGGGCAGGTGCTCGCCCCATTCGGCCCCTCGCCGCCGAGCCCGACCGCTCGGCGCCGCCTCCCGAGGAGTCCCGCGGAAGGCCCCCGAGGGGGGCGCGGGGCGGCCCCCCCCCCCGAGGCCCTGGCGCTGCACTGTTTTCAGAGCCGGGCGCCTTCGCCTCTCCTCGGGCCACCCCACGCGGAACTCCGACATTGGGACGCCCGAGAAGTGGGCACGGAAAGGATGGGTACACCCTGCGAAATGCTTAAGAAATCATGGGTTAAGAAATTCATAGTCTCAGAACTCGAATAAAAACCCAAAAGTTCCATTCAAATCTTAGGATTTACATTGAAACGTTAAGAATAATCGAGACTCTGGCCGAAAATTTAAGTTTTCTTAAGCATCGCCTAAGGGGTACAGTGCCCAATGACAATGTTGTCCCAAACCAACAGCGGCCGCTGCTGGGCAGGCGGCCGTCGGTCTCGAGTGGACAGAGGCCGCGGCGGCGCGGACAGCGAGCCCTGTCCAAGACGAACAGGAACTGCTGTCGGGCATTGTACCCACTCTTTCCGTGCCCATTTCGTTCGTGCCGATCCGAGTTTTCATGTGTATGGCATTGCGTGTTCCCGGACTCTTCCCCTTGCAGGAAAGGCCGTGCCCAGCCGCAGTGCGTGCATTCGGGCAGCGCGCTGCGCTCGTCCTTCTCGCCCGTCCTGGCCCGCTCTGCCCTCAATACGGGGCGGAAGCGGCAGGAAATAGGCGGGCGCTCGCGCTGATTCCTCCACTGAATTCGTTCAGCTCGCTGCCGACAAATGGATGGGAGGCGTCTGGACTCGATGCCAACGCTCTCTCGCTCTCTCGCCCCTGTACAGAGTATGCCGCGCCATACGCGGCAGCGTGATAGCGCGCGCAAATGAGCAAGAGAGAGCATCGCGGGCCCTGTGGCAGCGTTGCTGGAGGGAGGAAGATGAGGAAGGAGGGGGATGAGGAGGAGGAGGATGGATGGATGGACCATCATCAAAGAGGCCCTGGCGGCCGTCTGCAAGCAGACGACCGCCAGGGCCCAAGATGTCGAATGGTTCCCGCGCCGCCGCGTGAGGAGGAGGAGGAGGAGGAGGAGGAGGAGGCTGTGACTGGCGGGAGCGGCGGGGCGATGGATCCAAGTCCCTCGAGCGGGCTGTGCATGCACATGGCGCCCATACACCACCACCGCCACCGCCACCGTGCCTGGCTGAAGGCCATCCTGGTCCTCGGGATGGTGCATGGCTTTGCTGTCAAAGCCTAGGCCACGAGTGTCGCTGCACCATCCTTCCTTGGAGCCAACGGTGGCCGCGGCCAGGCATGGTGGTGGTGTACAGATGCCTCCTCCTGCGGAAACCAAGAGGATCCGATACCGCTACTCCCCGGACCCGTCCCGGGGTGCGTTCTGACCAGGATCTCGAGACGAATCCAGCGGTGGCCACAAGGGCCTCACAGGAGGCCGAAAGGGGAAAACGGGCGTCAGGCTGAATGCGTGCCCCGCCGCAGCCGAGCGAGGCTGGCAACCCCCGCTGGCCCCAGGCGCGCCCGAGGGGCCACCCCCCTCGCCAGCCCCGGGCGCGGCGGCAGAGCGCCTCCGTCAGCAGCTCCCCTCGCGGGGGCCCTCGTGCAGGCGGACGCGCAGCTCTGCGGCGCCAGGGCGGGCGGCGCGGTGCTGCTCGTAGACGGTCTCCAGGTGCTCGCGCACGAGGCGCACGGCGTTGCCGTACGAGCGCTCGTCCGGCGCACTGACGCACAGCATGAGCGGGTCGCCAGACTCCTGCTGCTCGGGCCCCTCCAGGAAGCCGGAGCCCCGGCCCCGGAGCCGCAGCTTTGCGCCGCCCGACGCCTCCGAGATGCGCTTCACGTGCTTCCCGTGCTCCCCGAGCAGCCTGCGCACGACGCGGAACTGCGGCTCCTCTGAGAAGAGCGGCACGCGGCATAAGAACACAGACGTTGGGAGGTCCGCGCGGATGTCTCGGACCCGCGCGGGGCCCCACTCCGTGATGCGCGGAGCGCGCCAGGGGCGGCGCCGGAGGCGCCACCAGGGGGGCCCAGCGCAGACCCAGGAAAGCCGCGCGGAGCGTCGATCCTGCTATCGTCTTCGATGCTCCTCGATCTCTAGCCTTATCGTCTTATCGTCTTCTTCGTCTTATGTTTATAAGCCGTTTTCCAAGTCTCCGAGCCTCCTCGATGCCGATGGTGAACTGGCACTGGCGCTTCCCGCCCGCGACCGCCGCGCCGTGGCGCCGCGGGTGCCGAAGCTGCCGGGGGGCGCCCGCGTCTTTCCACGAGTCTGGCCGGCCCCAGGCGCCCCAGCTCTCCTCCGTGGGCGGCATGGAGATGGGCACCAGCACCAGCGCAGGGGCTTAACCCCATCGGTGGAAGATGATCCCAGGTTTCGGTGATGGTGGCCATCGCGCGGCCACCGTCGCCGAGATCTGGAGGATCTCCCCTCGGTGGAGGCCAGTGCCGATCTTGGTGTTGGTGCCAAGCCTCTATAGGCCTCCGACGTTGGGCATGCGAGAGACACGCCTCGTGAAGACAGCGGGTCGGGGCCTTTGGACCCCGGGGCCTTCCCCAGGAGGGAGCGTCGTCGGCCAACTCTTCGACCTGCACATGAGACGTCTCGTGGCGGCCCGAGGGCCAAACCTGCCAAAAAAAACCTGAGGCCTTTCCCTCGGGATTCGATCCTGCTCCCGGGGTTCTGGGAAGCTGGCCCCCTGACCACTCGTGTCCACGGGTGGGCTTTCGCGAGGAATCCGGACCTGGCGACGAGGGCCCCCCCGGAGGTGCCCAAAGATCAGAAAACGCCCCCAAGCCTCCACCCTCGAAACCAGACGTCCACCGGTGTGATTGTTTCCCCTTCTTCGGGGGCAACTCTGCACCCAGGGTCCAGGGCCCGATAACGAGCCCCAGGGTGCCGAAAACGCTGTGGAGAACACATGGGAACATGCCCTGGATCGGCCTCATCGGCACGCAGTCGGGATCGAGTGTCGGATCGGACGCGCCAGGGAGCGTGCACAACACGCCGTGCGAGCGTCGGGCCGCGTCGGATCGTCAGAATAGCGGACTCGGATCGAGCCTGTCGGACCCTGGTGGCCTTGCCCTGCAACGGTGCCAGCAGGCGGCCACATATATGTATATATACATACATACATACATACATACATACATACATACATACATACATACATACATATATATATATATATAGAGAGAGAGAGAGAGAGAAAGAGGCACCAGAGGTCCCGACCCCTTCCCCAGGGGTAGTTTTGAGCCCCATATTTCTTACTCATATCATCCCGGGGCCCGATCACGCGCCCGAGAAGGCCGTCATCGAGGAAGAGTGACGCTGCGATTGGCAACATCATACCGTCGGAGATCTGGGAGCCTCGGACTCGCCGTGATCCTTGCCAAGGAGGACCCGCTTCGGGGGGGAGGGGGGGGCGAAACTTCGAGCTTGAGCTGGCGATTCATCGCCGAAAGATGGGCGATAGGCCCCTCTAGGTAATCCGTATGCTCCTGGGCGGGGTGGGCCATCAAGCCCTCATCGGGGATCAATGGGCGATTGGGGGTCGATGCTTTCCCCCGAGCCTTGCCCACACGGGGAGCACGAGAGCCCCCTCCGACCATCAGAACTGTCAAGGTCAACTGGTCCAGCGACCATACAATCTAGCCACTACCATAATCGGGGAGACGTAAGACTCGGTCTCGGAGGACGCGGGTTGGCCTGGCGAGGCCGTCAAGAAATTGACGGGGCCCGGTATGAAACTTGACGCGACCTCCCGCTGCAAACATCCCACGAAGACCGGACCGTCGAAATCCAGGACGGGCTCGTCAAAAAGCGATGGCAAATCCGACTTTCGGCGAACTCGACTCTTGCGTTTCCCCAACAGCGAAAACCATCTCAGGCGAGCCTAGAAGCCTCTCGAACCTCGGACCCCAAGTGGCGATCCTGGCCCTGCCACGCTGCTCTCGAGCGTCCCCACGAGGAGCCGCTGCCCTCCCAGCCCTGCCTCGGGAGCGGCGAACACGTCCGTAACCAGGTGCCCCGAAAATAATCCCCTGGGGATGAAAGCATTCGGAGTTTCAAGGGGATCGTACACTTTCTTCACGACAACACGGATGCACGGTGTACGGACGTATGGTGTACGGAGTGTCAATAAGTAGTAGTACTAGTACTAGTACTAGTACTAGTAGTAGTAGTAGTAGTAGTAGTAGTAGTAGTAGTAGTAGTAGTAGTAGTAGTAGTCGTAGTCGTAGTAGTAGTAGTAGTAGTAGTAGTAGTAGTAGGTAGTAGTAGGTAGTAGTAGTAGTAGTAGTAGTAGTAGTAGTAGTAGTAGTAGTAGCAGCAGCAGACACAGCAGCAGTAGTAGTAGTAGTAGTAGCAGAAGTAGAAGTAGTAGTAGTCGTAGTAGTAGTAGTAGTAGTAGTAATAGTCGCCGTCGTAGTAGTAGTCGTGGTCGTAGTCGTACTAGTAGTACTAGTAGTAGTAGTAGTAGTAGTAGTAGTAGTAGTAGTAGTAGTAGTAGTAGTAGTAGTAGTAGTAGTAGTAGTAGTAGTAGTAGTAGTACTCGTGGTAGTAGTAGTAGTAGTAGTAGTAGTAGTAGTGGTGGTAGTAGTAGTAGAAGTCGTAGTAAGTAGTAGCAAGTAGTAAGTAGTAAGTAGTAGGTAGTCAGTAGTAAGTAGTCAGTAGTAAGTAGTAAGTAGTAAGTAGTAAGTAGTAAGTAGTAAGTAGTAAGTGGTAGTAGTAGTAGTAGTAGGTACAGTAATGGTAGTAGTAGTAGTAGTAGTAGTAGTAGTAGCGGTAGTAGTAGTAGTAGTAGTAGTAGGAGTAGTAGTAGTAGCAGGAGTAGTAGTAGTAGTAGCAGTAGTAGCAGTAAGTAGCAGAGCAGTAAGAGTAGTAGTAGTAGCGGTAGTAGTAGTAGTAGTAGTAGTAGTAGTAGTGGTAAGAGTAATTAGTAGTAGTAGTAGTAGTAGTAAGTAGAAGTAGTAGTAAATAGTAGTAAGTAGTAGTAGTAGTAGTAGTAGTCGTAGTAGTAGTAGTAGTAGTAGTAGTAGTAGTAGTAGTAGTAGTAGTAGTAGTAGTAGTAGTAGTAGTAGTAGTAGTAGCAGCAGCAGTAATAGTTGTAGTAGTAGTAGTAGTAGTAGTAGTAGTAGTGGTAGTAGTAGTAGTAGCAGTAGTAGTAGTAGTAGTCGTAGTCGTAATCGTAATCGTAGTCGTAGTCGTAGTCGTAGTCGTAGTCGTAGTAGTAGTAGTAGTAGTAGTAGTAGTAGTAGTAGTAAATGGAAAGGTAAAAAGCATAGCCGTAGTAGTAGTAGCCGTAGTAGTAGTAGTAGTAGTAGTAGTAGTAGTAGTAGTACTAGTAGTAGTAGTAGTAGTAGTAGTAGTAATAGTAATAGTAGTAGTAGTAGCAGTAGTAGTAGTAGGTAACGCCCTGCGCGTCAGGGTCCCTAGTAGTGAACCGTGTTTGTGATGCTGCATCGCTGCCGTTTGCCCGATGTTGCATTGTCTCATGTGGTCGTGGGGCTCATGCGGCGCATGCTGGGTCTCAGAATGACAAATTACGTGAAAGGGTTTTCAAGTTGGTTTTTGGGTTTAAGTTGGCCCCCATCCATATGATTGGGCATGATGGAACCGAACGTCTTGTGCGTCTGGGCACCCCGCTGTCGAAGGTGGAGGATGATGAGGAGTTGGAACAGGATGACGATGATGATGGTGACGATGATGTTGTTGTGGTGATGATTATGGTGATGGTGGCCATGATGATGGTTGGGATGATGCTCATGATGATGATGATCATCATGATGATGATGACGAGGAGGAGGTGATGACGGTACTGCTGATGATTTTTTGATCTCTCCTGGGAGTGCTCTTGGAGCCTTCCTACAATTTCTTGGGGGGCCCTTGGGCCGTCTGGAAACCCATGAGGGCGTTTCGGAGCGATCTGTCGCAACATTGGGCCCTCTTGGATCGTCTTCAGGGCCTCTGGTGTCCTCGTCGTCCGTTTGGGGGCTTGCTTGAACTTGAAAAAACCACGCGCCAAGCCGCGACGGGACAAGCCGCGACGCGCCCGAGGGATTCCTAGGGATTCCTAAGTGGTTAAATGCTTGGGACCCTTGCACATCGTAGGATTCACTAGTGACCTGGACGGGTAAGGCGTTTGGTTTGCGCAAGGAGTCTTCAGGATTCGCAAAGAATTCTTAAGGATTCGCCAGGAATCGTAATGATTCCTAGGGATTCCGAGGTATTCCTAGTGAGTCGTAGGAATTCCTGGGGAGTCGTAAGGAGTCCGATGGATTCCTAGACATTCCTAAGGATTCCTAAGGATTCCGAAAGATTCAGTTCCTAGAGATTCCCACAAGTTCCTAGGAATTCCTAGGTGCTCCTAAGGATTCTCCTAGGGATTCCTAGGTCGTGAAATCCTGAGGGGTCCTTGCAAATCATGCGGATTTGCACGGGATACTAACGATTTCACTAAGGACCCGGACGGGCAAGGCGTTCGGTTTGCGCAAGGGGTCTTCAGGATTCGCAAGGGATTCCTAAAGATTCGTAGGGGGTCCTAGGGGTTCCTGAGGATTCCGAAGGATTCCTCGGGAGTCGCAGGGAGCCGTAGATTCCTGGGGAGTCGTAGGGATTCGTAAGGGTTCCTGGAGGTTCTTAGGGATTCCTACGGTTTCCTGGGGATTCGCCTAGGGATTCCTAGGTAGTGACATCCTTAGGGGTCCGTGCAAATCGTAAGGATTTGCACGGGTTCCCAAGGATTTCACCAACAGGCCCAGACGGGCAAGGCGTTCGGCTTAGGATTCGCAAGGGGATTCCTGAGGATCCGACGGGATTTCTGAGGATTCCTAGGGGGTCGTAGGGATTCATATGGAGTTGTACGGGGTCGTGGGGGGGGGAGTAGTCGGCATTTGCATAGATCCCGAGAGATTCCTAATGATGTCTAGGGATTCCTAAGCATTCCTAGGGATCCCTCGGGAATCCTAGGTAGTGAAATCTTTTGAAATCTTTATACATCGAAAAGCTTTGCATTGGTTCCGAAGGATTTCACTAAGGACCCAGACGGGCAAAGCGTTCGGCTTGCGCAAGGCACCTTCAGGATTCGCAAGGGATTCCTAAGGATTCGTCAGGAATCGTAATGATTCCTAGAGATTCCGAAGGATTCCTAGTCAGTCGTAGGGAGTCGCATGGATTCCTGGGGCGTCGTAGGGAGTCCGATGGATTCCTAGACATTCCTGAAGATCCTAAAGGTTCCGATGAGTTCTTCCAGGAGATTCCGATGGATTCCTAAGGATTCCTAAGCAGTCCTATGGATCCCAGGTAATGAAATCCTTCACAATCCTTGCGAATCGTGAAGGTTTGCACGTGTTCCCAAGGAGTTCACTAGGGACCCGGACGGGCAAGGCGTTCGGTTTGCGCAAGGAGTCTTCAGGATTCGCAAGGGATTCCTGAGGACAGGGTGTCCTAGGGATTCTTACGTGTTTCTACGGATCCCTGGGAAGTCGTAAGGAGCCGTAAGGATTCCTACGGAGTCGTAGCAAGTCTTGGGGATTTCTCCGGATATCTAAAGACTTGTAAGGATCCCCAGGGATTCGTAGGGATTCCCAGGGATTCCTAGGGAGTCCTAGGGATCGCTGAGGATTCCAAGGGAGTCGTCGGGATTCGTATGGATTCCTGAGGATTCCTCGGGATTCCTAAAGGAAACATTTTTAAGGGATTCGTAGGTAGTGAAATCCTTAGGAATCTTTCCAAATCGTAAGTTTTTGCGAGGGTTCCTAGGGATTTCACTAAGGACCCGGACGGGCAAAGCGTTCGGTTTGCACAAGGAGTCGTAAAGGATTCGCAAGGGATTCCTAAGGATTCCTCTGGAATCGTAGGGATTCCTAAGGATTCCTAGGGAGTCGTAGGGAGTCGTAGGGCTTCCTAGGAAGTCGCAGGGAGCCGTCGGGATCCCTATGGATTCTTCAAATTCCTATGGATTCCTAAGGATTCCCAGGCATTCCTAGGAATTCCGAAGGATTCCAATGAATTCCTAGGGGGTCCTAAGGATTCCTAAGCATTTCTAAAGATTCGAGGTAGTGAAATCCGTAGAACTCCTTGTATAGGTTCCAAAAGATTTCGCGAGGGACCCGGACGGGCAAGGCGTTCGGTTTGCGCAAGGAGTCTTAAGGATTCGCTAGGGATTCGTAGGAATTCGTGGGGATTCCTACGGATTCCTAGGAATTCCGAGGTAGTGAAATCCTTAAGAATCCTTTCAAATCGTGGGGATTCGCGGGGTTGCCTATGGATTTCAATAGGGACCCGGACGCGCAGGGCGTTCGGTTCGCGCGAGGAGTCTTCAGGATGCGCTTGGGATTCCGAAGGATTGGTAGGAACTCGTGGGGATTCCTGGGGATTCCTAGGGAGTCCGAAGGATTCCGAAAGATCCCCAAAGATTTTGAAGGATCCCTGAAAAGACTCCCAGGGATTCCGAAAGATTCTTTAGGATTCCGAAGGGCTCCAAAGGATTTCTACACATTCCTGTGCGTTCCGAGGGATTCCTAGGTAGTGAAACCCTTGGGAATCATTTCGAATCGTAAGGATTCGAAAGGGGTCCTAAGCATTTGACGAAGGAACCGGACGGGCAAGGCGTCTGGTTTGCGCAAGGAGTCTTAAAGATTTGACAGGGAGTCCGAAGGATTCGTAAGGATTTGTGGGGTTTCCTGCAGATTCCTAGGGGTTCCGAAAGATTCCTCAAGATTTCTAAAACCCCCCAAGGATTCTCAAGAATTCCTAGAACATTTTCTACTGATATCTACGGATCCCTAAAGATTCTTTAGGAACCCGAAGCATTCCTAAGGATTCATAGGGATTCCTAAGGATTCCTGAACATTCGTAAGCATTCCTATGGATTCCTAAGTAGTGATATCCTTCGGAACCCTTGCAAATTCGCAGGTTGGCCTGAGGATTTCGCTAAGAACCCGGACGCGCAGGGCGTTCGGTTTGCGCAAGGACTCTTAAGGATTCGCGTTC